CTTATGACTACTGTTTTGTTTCAATTTGTATAATTTATTTATCTGTGATATGTCATCAATAGAGTCACATTCGACAAGATCTGATTCATGTATGCTTTTTGTTGAAACATGAACATTTCTTGGACGTGGTGATTTATTTCACTGCAGTAAATGTTGATGTGATGTTAGTGACTTTTAATCATACTTGGCTACTCGCTATTTTGACACACAGCTGTGAGCTCCTAGGTCCCAGTGATACTTTAGTTCTTCTATCTAGTCATGACATGACAGTTTTGTTCATTGAAAATAAAAAAGAGTAAGGTTATTTTTTCCATATTATTAAACAATGTAAGGTTTGGTTCCTGTTGTCAATTTTCTGCATGATCATATCTCAAACACACACACACACACACACACACACACACACACACACACACACACACACACACACACACACACACACACACACACACACACACACACACACACACACACATACGTATAACCGAAGCGGACCGAACCGAACTGAACGCCTTGTACCGCAATACGTACCGTACAATGGTAAGAGCGTATCGTTTCACCCCAGGCTTGTGGTCCATTATCTTTTTACACGTAAGTTATACACTGCTGTTAGAAACAACACCTATTTCTATGTAAATGGTCACAGCCTCCAAACTGTGTTATATGGAATACCTCCAGCTACCAACAATGTCATTAAGAACATAATAGAGTTCCTGCATCAATACACCATTACGACTAAACGATTTGATAAATTATTTTAGACCAGTATATGTACACAATTAATGACATGTAACTGCAAGATCAAGGTTCATAAACACGTACAATGCACATTTACGATTTAATTTGTCGTTTTTGTGTATCCAGTTCTTGTGTATTTTGTTTAGATGATATATGTACTGGTGAGGTAGTAATAAAAAGTTTGCTCGTTTACCAAACCAGATTCTTTGAGAATAAAAATATGTTTAAACCATGTAAAGCGTAATTAAATGTTCCGACAAAGGTAATGCATCTTTGCTTTACAAATAGAATATCAACTCGTTAATAACAAAGGAGAATATAGACGGGCATATCTCTCCATCTCTCCATCATTTCCCAAGTGAGACAGCCGAACAGTTAGCCGCTCTGTCCTCAGCTGTCAAATGTTTGCAAGTAAATTTGTATTAAAATTTGAAACACACCGAATAAAATTTCTGATAGTATTAATTGTGGTAAACATGGAAACTCGATTCAATAAACATGGAACAAAACAGGTAAGAGGTATTAATGGACGCTTTCGTTTTGTGAAACACACGTTGGTTTCAAACAAAATGATAAGACAGTGCACTGCATGTTTGACATCAAATAGAAAATAAACGAATTCCAAATAGTTTGCTCAGTGAAACCCCAGACTTATATTATTTCCCCCAAAATAGATTAGGATTGTAACGATTATAGGTCTCTGGGGAGAGAGTGAATGCCGTTGATAGTCACAGTGATGAATATTTACTCTCTCTCTCTCTCTCTCTCTCTCTCTCTCTCTCTCTCTCTCTCTCTCTCTCTCTCTCTCACACACACACACACACAGAGACACACACAGAGAGACATAAACGCAGTGTCTGAAACATTAACACGTACCAATGTTAAAAACAAGTGACCAAACCTGACCACCACTTTCCTATTTTTTGTCAAGCCGTGAATCTGTTTGTGTCGGAAACAGCCAGTGGCCCTGTAGGGTTGTTTATAAGTTTGGCCATGTCCAATATACTTAAGTTATAAAGAAATCAAATGGACCATCAACTGTATTTCGCTATAACGAATTCAAATGGACCATCAACTGTATTTCGCTATAACAAATTCAAAGGGACCATCAACTGTATTCCGCTATAACGAACTCAAAGGGACCATTAACTGTATTTCGTTATAACGAGCACCATAAGGACTGTAAGTCTCGCTAGGCGCTACTTCCGGTACTAAGCTGGTTCCCAGTTCCCTTTGCGCGCGCCAACGTGCGATATGCGAGACGGGGCCCAGCTTATTTCCGGTGACAAGCGTATATTCAAGATTGCGCGACCGCCAAATATGACTTTAGTAGACCGGACCAAGTGTACAACCATGCTTGGCTGTCATAGCTGTCGGCAGTTGGCTAATTATAAGCCGGGGATGGTTAGATTGGAAATTTGTATTCTTGCAAGGATTATCGCTTCCTTACTGTCAGCTAACAACCATGAGACCATTCGAAAAGGTATGAACGTCGCCGGAAGTACTAATTAAGGTCTCGCGAAGTGCCGTGACCGACTTACAGGCCGTATAAACTGTATTTAGTTATAGCAGTAGTTCGCTATGTGCATTTCGATTAAATTACTAAGCAAACGGCAGGGACGAAAAGACCCCCCAGTTCTACATCGCCGTCTTTTTTCCCGATGAAGCTGTCACAGATCAAATGTGCGTTTGACAAAGGGAAGGGTTTCAGGATAACAAAGTACCCAAACATGACCCCAATGGTGGGGTTCAATCATGATCTGGGATGGGGTCAGTAGATCAGGAAAGAAACATCCTCCATGTCCGAAAGCAGGTCACGATGACAGGAAGGCGCTTCAGTGATGGCATTCTTGTTGTACACTAAACGCCAAAGGAAACGTTCCCCTCCTTCCTTAATGACGGAGGTACCTAGCTTCAGCTCGCTTTGTGATTCGTGGACGTCCACTTCTTGGTGGGTCTACGGTGACCCCGTACAGTGACCTCTGTCTGTAGCGCTGAATAAGTCTTATAACCTTATTACCGTGGCATCTGAGGGCGCTGGCAACAGCATTGTATGTCGACCCGATCTGCACCATCCCAATGGCTCTTTCTCACTCTTCAGCTGTTAATCGTGGTATATTTCACGTACTTGTGTATCATATCATGCATTCTAGTCTCTCTTTATACCCTATAGAATCATACTACACGAGAAATGGATGCAAGTACTACTTGAATATTGCTACGTTTTGGCAATTGGTATTGCTATGTGTAATCAGAAAATGGAAAAATGTTACTTTGCAAGCAAAAATGTAAAGATAAATTTCGATGTTCCTAAAAACCTTTTTCACAATATCAAAGACACGTTTTACTTGTTACCACTAATGGAAATCAGAAGAAAATGTTTTAAAAGACATTTTTACACACTCTACAACAGTTGTTTCTTGTTTAAATAGTTGAAAAATGGTGACTTTAAATGGTTTATCTTTGTCTCAAAGCAGAATTTTATTTCAACCTTTCTTTTGGACGTCTAAATCACTGTTATTGGTTTATTTCGGCATGGTCGAAAATAGGACAATTTAACTCTTCTCCAAAAGATGCATTTCACCTAAATATGAATGCATTTGAGAATAATTTGTTTGTGATTTACGTAAAGCTGTGTTGTTAAGCTTCCTTGTAAACGAATACCTTCTAACACATCTTTGATAGTTTTTCATAAAGGCAGGAGGGCAGGAGGGCAGGAGGGCAACGTTTCTTTTGGCGTTTAGTGTATATCTGAGGCCGTGTGCTGGTGCAATCGGACTTCCATGGACGATGGCCCATGACTTTTGTTTCAGGGTTGTTTATGCCCACTCAGAATATCAAACTTCTGTCCACATGGTATACCCAAGCCAGACACCAGACCTTAACCCTATCGAACACATATGACACGAGCCACTGTTTGTCCTCCCAAGGGGGCGGTGGGGCAATCTTGTGGTTAAGGGTTCGATCGTCACGCCGAAGACCTGAATTCGATTCCCCACATGAGTAAAATGTGTGAAGGCCATTTCTGGTGTCCTCTGCTGTGATAATGCAAACTAACTTGTCCTCCAATGAGTCAATGACATCTCTGTAGGAATCGCCAATGCTCCCACCGAACACCCTTCCTTTGGCAGCTATTCAGCCACTTATATGAAGCGTGACACGACGATACCAAGGTAATCGCAGACGCTACTGAGAGTTGCTTTGACAGACTTGTCGTGATTTTTGACGTTTCAATTATATCTGTCATTTCGACGGATGGCCTGACTAATCATTGGTGACATGTCGGTTACTAGCGCTGTGTGGCATATGACAACCGACTTGTTCATTAAACATGCCTTCACGCAAAATTGTTGCTTGCGATTCCAACAAATGAACTGAACCTAACACCTTTTACAGTGATCCTTCAGAAACTTTGAGTAGCTTCGTTAGATTTCAGTCGGCACTGACAAGCATAACCTGCGAAAATCTGTCATTCATGTCCTGGAACTGATAAGACTTCAGGAGAAAGGTGAATGTATGCTATGCCAAGCAGAACGTGTCCTGTAGCATGAGCAGTATTTATCCTTCGTGTAACAGGTGTTGTGTCAGTGCAACACAAAGCCAAATTCAAAGCAGCGAGTAGGAACGATTGTCATATGTTTCGAGGCTAGATTTGTGGACAGTTATTACTGAATGGACTATAAATAGCGGAAAATCGGCATTGGGCATTCAGCATTTGGGTCGTGTGAAGTGCAATTGTATGGTACCTGTCAATAGTTTATCACAACCGAGGCGAAGTGCTTTATGCTACACGTTTATCTGGATTTGCCTTATTAATACGTTTGTCTTGCTATGAAATGAATCAATACTATACTAGTAACAACACAACGCGTTGTGTGGTATTATGGGATATACCGTGTGATGCTTATGACAGACAGACACAGACAGACAATCAGACAGACAGACAGAGCGCAGTTAGCACACATCAGCTGCCGTCTGACCCGCATTTGCTTGAATTCGAAAATCGCCATACATGGACATTAGGTTACGGCAAGGTTCATCATGGAGAAATGCTATCCATTACCAGATGCTGTAATACATTTTCCTTTTCCGTAGTAAACCCATGGCGTTTGCTTTCGGATAGATAATAAAAGATAAAAAGATAATCTGATCACAGATTCACCTAGCCAGACTGGAATCCGTAATTCGTAGTGGTTTTGTTAACAAGCAACGACTTGTACCAATCTCTTTTTTTGGATATTTTTATGATGCAGTCGGGGATTATCGATCTTGAAAGGTCAGCACAATATGGACACACTCGGCTGTATGCCTGATTTCATAACAATTCTGTGAGAAGAGAGGAACTATTCACTTAAAGTCAGAGCGTGATCACAGTAAGAGAAACATCTTCACATCATCAAATGAAAATACTGATGTCGCTTGGATCGTCGAAAGTCTTATACTATGACAGAATATGAACATCATTGAAAAAAGTTACAGCTTTGCGTGAACAAAATGAACAAATGGTCACTGGAGAATGGAGTCAAATTGTCTAAACATAAAACATGAAGTGTTAATGTTTGCAATGATGATCCAGACATTCCCTTCACAGCAGCGACAAAAACATGTCTAGGCATAATCTTTGACCACATTCCTTTCCTCTTTCCACCCGACATTAAATATTTGGCAAATAAATGTTTAATATTTTGCAGGTGACATCAAATATTCCGGGTGGAGGTAATAGCGATACCAATGTACCCTGATAAAATTCGGATGAGATCCAATTTTGGTTCTAGCTGTTTCTTCAATTGTTCAACTCGTAAGCGACAACTTGACTCCATTCACCGCCAAGTTAAAAGTTCATGTGTGCATTCACTTTAAAGTTAATATGTAGAAGAAAAAGAAGTTAAGACGAAAATCACTGCCATGGCATTCGTTGACCTAGTCCCAATACCGAGTCATCTGAAACCTTCATTTTGTTTATAACACACCCCTCTTTCCTGCTTTGACACACTTATGCAAAATGCCAACATGTTTCGCATATCACTTCCAGTCCTTCCTTCTCTCTATTGTTAAAACTCCTCCTCTCTTCGAATAACTCCTTTGTTATTGGTGAGTACATTTTGAACAGCTGATGCATGTAACAACTCCTCAGATTTCAATGTGCCATGACACACGGATTAAGTAGGCCTCCTCATCGGTACACTCGATGTACCATTTGCTGATTCTGAATTCAGTCAATTTGTGAAAGACATGTTTAAGAAGTCCCAGGCTGATCGTAAATGAAGGGTATGCTGTATTTGTATATATACATCTTTGGTCACAGAGTTTATTGCAGTTTGGTCATTTTATTGACACTTCAACAAAGGCCACATCAAGAGGTTGTGTTGCAATATCTACCTGGTGTTGATTATGTTTCGAGCTTTTCTTATGCCAGACTTGTCAGAGAAGAAGAACAGCAAGAGCTCCATAATCTCTGTTACTGTTTAGATGCTGACTATGAGACACCTCTGAAAATGGACGTATAAATAACACTCCAGTTATATAAACATTTACATCGATGATAGGAATCAAAGTTCTGTTGTCTTCCTGTGTTTGATTCTGTTGCCTGATTTTCTTCCTGCACTTGCCACGGAGGAGGAAGAACAGGATGACCATCAGGAGCCCGTTCCATAAACATCGTCGTCAACATAAGAAATTATCCTCATTTTATAGCACTGTCACCAGTTGTTAATCCTGTTTCGAGCTTTTCGTCCTCTAAGCTTGTCCACGAAGTACAGAAAGATGAATACCAGGAGCTCCCAGATCTCCGCGACTGTCAGGATGCTGGCCCCGAGACACAATCCCATCTGGCCACCAACATTAGCTGCAACATCAATAGCTCAGTTCACCAACAATGTATTTCCTAAAAAAGAGCTAATACTTTATTGTAGCAGTGCTAGTAGTAACATATACTTGTACACAAACATATGTTTTTTTTAAATAAGGGACAACCTATTAATCTTTGTTATCTATGATCCAGACCAGTAAATGATTTAGGGTTTACTGACAGCTTGAAGACTGTTTCCGTTATATCACATATTTATTGCATTTGTGTCATTTTAGAGTGAGTGAATTTAGTTTTACGCCCCTTTAGCAATATCAGCAATATCACGGCGGGGGGACACCAGAAATGGACTTCACACATTGTACCCGTGTGGGGAATTTCATGTTAGAAAGTAAAATGAACACAGCATGTAGACGTTTATCACCCAGATGATCCCGGTTGCTAAGGGACGTAACTCTAAGAAGCTTTCAGACAAGTTTTATATTGACAACAGTCCCGTAATGTAAGTACTATTCCAGTTATATGACGGTTGTCCGTAATGACCGTGTGTGGACCAGACAAGCCATCGAGCATGGACCCTCGCAACTTGAGTGAGTGAATAGTGAGTGAGTTTAGTATTACGCCGCACTCAGCAATATTCCATCTATATGGCGGCGGTCTGTAAATTATCGACTCTGGACCAGACAATCCAGTGATCAACAGCATGAGCATCGATCTGCGCAACTGGTCTTCGCAACTTGGATAAGATGACATGCATCAACTAAATAAGCGAGTCTGACCACCAGATCCCGTTAGTTGCCTCTTAGGACCAGCATGACCTTCCAAAGATCAATTCCAACCAGAGTCTTCACGGAGTGTAATGAAGTTGTGTACTAACAGAAGAGCGTGGCCTGAGTGTACTGAGGATGCTGTTTTGTTGATGTCACCATCATCTTGTCGTAGAACACTCTCAGCTCCAAGTAGTTATTCCTGAAGTAAAGGATAAAAGTAACTTTATTTAACTAAATATACTAATATAATTCCCAAAATAGTATATTGACGTGATCATTCTTGAACTATTCCCGAACACTGCTGTACGAATCAGCAATAATTAAATATGAGTCAATATTGCTGTGAGAGCACTTTTACATGAATCCCCGTATTTGTGTATGAATCCCAAATAATCCGGTAGATACTTCCGTACTACCTATACACCTCAAATGCTATTGTTGGAAAATATATCATATATCAATCTCAAATATCGTTATTCCAAACATTCTTTCTCAGACATTACATATTAGTTGACACTGTGAATTGCGCCCCCCTCGCATATAAACATCATAAACTCAACAAAACTTCGTCGAACCACCCCCCAAATAATGAGAAAGAAGTGAACTCTGTCTCACTATGACGTATATGAGTGAGTGAATTTAGTTTTACGCCGCACTGTGCAATATTCCAGTTATATGGCGTCGGTCTGTAAATAATCGAGTCTGGACCAGACAATCCAGTGATCAACAGCATGAGCATCGATCCGCGCAATTGGGAACCGATGACATGTGGTCAATAGTTTGTGGATGGGCAAATGAAATTAGAACTGCACGAATACTGACAGATGAATTCTGGTGTGATGGGTTGATCGAAAACCGGACAAGGTACGATGGAAGACTACTGACACAAACGGAGCTTACCTGAAGTATTCGGAACTCTCCGACTGAGTGCTGTTGTTCAGCAGTTCGGCCCAGATGTCTGCTGGGTACCCGCTGGACGACACCTGCGCACTGAACGTCGCAAAGGTGCATTGGGTGCTACATTTACACTCCTCCTCGAATGTGGTGTTCTTGCCCATTTCACCTATAAATACGAGGTTTCTATAGACACCGACAAAAAGTGTTTCTACAGATAGTGACATGCAGTATTTCCACAGATAGTGACATGCAGTATGTCTACAGATAGTGACATGCAGTATTTCTACAGATAGTGACATGCAGTATCTCTGCAGATAGTGGCATGCAGTAGTTCTACAGATAGAGACATGCAATATTTCTACAGATAGTGACATGCAGTAATTCCACAGATAGTCACATGCAGTATTTCTACAGATAGTGACATGCAGTATCTCTACAGATAGTGACATGTAGTATTTCTACAGATAGTGGCATGCAGTATGTCCACATATAGTGACATGCAGTATTTCTACAGATAGTGACATGTAGTATTTCTTCAGATTGTGACATGCAGTAGTTCTACAGATAGTACATGTAGTATTTCTACAGATAGTGACAAGCAGTATCTCTACAGATAGTGGCATGCAGTAGTTCTACAGATAGTGACATGCAGTATTTCTACAGATAACGACATGCAGTATTTCCACAGATAGTGCATGTCACTTTCGGTAGAAATATTGCATGTCACTATCTGAGGAAATACTGCATGTCGCTATCGGTAGAAATATTGCATGTCGCTATTTCCACAGATAGTGACATGCAGTATTTCCACAGACAGTGACATGCAGTATTTCAACAGATAGTGACATGCAGTATCTCTACAGATAGTGGCATGCAGTATTTCCACAGACAGTGACATGCAGTATTTCCACAGACAGTGACATGCAGTATCTCTACAGGTAGTGACATGCAGTAGTTCTACAGATAGTGATATGCAGTATTTCTACAGATAGAGACATGCAGTATTTCCACAGACAGTGACATGCAGTATGTCCACAGATAGTCACATGCAGTATTTATACAGATAGTGACATGCAGTATTTCCACAGATAGTCACATGCAGTATTTCTACAGATAGTGACATGCAGTATTTCTACAGATAGTGACATGTAGTATTTCTACAGATAGTGACATGCAATATTTCCACATATAGTGGCATGCAGTATTTCCACAGACAGTGACATGCACTATTTCCACAGATAGTGACATGCAGTATTTCCACAGATAGTCACATGCAGTATTTCTACAGATAGTGACATGCAGTATTTCCACAGACAGTGACATGCAGTATTTCTACAGATAGTGACATGCAATATTTCCACAGATAGTGACATGCAGTATTTCTACAGATAGTGACATGCAGTATTTCTACAGGTTGTGACATGCAGTATTTCTACAGATAGTGGCATGCAGTAGTTCTACAGATAGTGACATGCAGTATTTCTACAGATAGTGACATTTCCACAGATAGTGCCATACACATACAGTATTTCCACAGATAGTGGCATACAGTGATTACACAGATAGTGATATGCTGTGATTCCTCAGATAGTGATATACAGTCATTACATGCTGCACGTGCATGAACACTGTGCATGTCTTCTCATAGGCCCTCTGCGTTTATTAAATTTAAATGTGTTTTTCATCTCATACCTCAACCAGCAAGTGCATGATCGGGTTAATAAAACAAAGAAAGAAAACCTGAAAATTTTTAATTTTTAAGAACTTCAATCACTTGGTTTATAACCGTCAAAATAATTTATGAGAAGATCGAATTATTCGGAAACATTTTTAATAAACGCAGATAACTAAAGATCAAACTGACCTGGGTGTTTTAGTGTTCAAGGGTAAGAGTATTGTTTGTATCGCCCAAGTGTGTAATTTCTACAGTAGCTTGGATAACTGAGATGAGAAAATGTGTACTATGTCACGTCGGAATGAACGTTCAGGGCGGGCTGGTGAAGGGAAACAGGGACAAAAGACACTGGCAGCCTTAGAACAATCATTACTTGCTGAGAATCTGTTCCCACCTGGAATCACAACACTGGTTACTTCTAGTATTACAATAACTGGGCGTATGATACTCACGAATAGATATCGAATAACAGGTGTCCTGCTTCTCCAGGGAGCATATTGGGACATCGGGTCCTCTTGATCCTAGTGGCAATTAAGTGCATTTATATTACACATAATAACGGTAAATGCCTCATTATTTATGCATCATAGACAGCATGTGACTGGCGACACACATTGACATGAAAGTACACATTTTTGGAATCGGTGGTTCGGCGACAGCAACATGAAATTTAAAGTAACGAGAACATAATTCCACAAATTACGAGAATAATAACAGAAGTAACGTGAATAAAAATCATTATTTCGAGAATATAACTGAAGTAACGAGAATGGTTCGGTGAAAAGATACTTAATGCTACAAAAGGAGTACCATTAAGCTTGTCCCAATGGCGACACCCGCCACAATTTCATGCAAGGGAATTCCATCGGACATTATTTTGGTAACTGGTGCGTCAAATTTGGAAATGACTTCCATATGTCTTCCATAAACCTTTTGAATCCATTACAGAGGCCTTGGATGTTGTAACTCTTTGAGAATACCTTTGAAGAGAGCGTGCTCGATTGTACTGAAGCTAATTTCTAGTGTCCCGCCCTAATAACTCTCTGAATATTGCTCAAACTATCTTTATTTCGGACACGGGAAAAAAGATATTACCCTCGGTGCAAGTATTTTCAGTATTTTTCGCCTAACATTACTTATTTATTTAAACCTGATGAGATAATTCGTCCGAAATGTTCAAGTGTTTTCATTGTTTGCGAAATGACGTCATATGAAGGCATTGTCGCAAATAATGGAAATGTCCATGACGTCACAAAGTAATTTTTGTCAGATCTATAAGAAATGAAACACATTTTTTTTCATTTTCTCATATTTTCTATTTGAAAAGTAACACTTTGTCTATATATATGTGTGTGTGTGTAGACACGTAAAATATAAAAGATGAATAACTCATTCAGTAAATTGAATGGAGTGTGTAAAATGTGCCTGTGGTAGAGGTACCGTGCTGGCCGCATTGAACTCTGGGTAGGAGAGTGCTGTGAAACGTCATCAAGGTACCACCTGTAGTTACTCGCCTCTTTCCGTGGCCAACAAGAAGGCTCGTAACTGTATACACAGGCAAACTGTAGCGCAAATAGGGTTGCGCAACAAAGAGAAAATGACCAGTCTTCCTATATGCGAGCGAAGCGAGCAAAGGTTGGCAACGTACTTCCCTTGCTTCGGTTCGAAAAATATTTTTAATATCAAAATAAAATATCGCCACCATCAAATGTAGACACCCATTTCCTCACAGGGTTGTACTCTCAGATTGCCAACCTCATATATAATAATTACTCACGTAAAACATATTTAATTCAACACTTTAAGCACCACTCGTGCCATATCAAACCGTTCTTCGCCTCCATTACCCCTGCCAGCTTCCGGTTCAACGGAGTGAAGGAACAAGAATTTTCGAAGCATGAAAATGGCGGCACCGTCGAACTGTGAAACTTCGCTAAGCTATGCAAAGCACAATTTAATCCTAAACTTTAAGGTAAAGGATCAGCAACTTTCAACACTGAAACATCTTTACGCCGGGAATGACTGTATAGCTGCTTTGCCCACCGGATATGGGATATTCTTGGAGTAGCCATGTTTGGAAATTCAGGGTTATCTTTCCTTGGAAATAGTACTAGACTATTTCTATCTCCGTCCACGTTTGCGCTAAGACAAGTCCCAGTCGTGAATATGGCCACGAGAGGGGCACGAGACGCCATCCGGCTTCCCGGAATGACACGAGTAGTTACGAATATAACTTACGTGGATCAGAAGGTCCGACACATCCACACAGGTTAAAGACCTTGGTCTGGATACACTCCATGAAGCAATGGTCGTAGGTGTAAGGGGAGTAGTACTTGAGAGGATTCACAAAGTCGGGACTATTTGTGTCCACACAGTCCATTTCATCAAAAGCCATGTAGGGATCGGGCAGGTACACGTACTGCAAAACAAGGACCCCATTGAGCTGACTTGCTGAAGCTTCGCTGTAAATAGTATGTTTATACGATGACATTTAGTGAATGTATGTTATTACCACGTTGCTGTCAGTAACATTCCTGGTACCCCATTGAGTGGACCCATGTGACAATGAACCCGTTGTTACACCAAGCACCCGTGAACATCCGGGTTAGAATTGGTCTTCAGCAACCCATGGTTGTCGTAAGAGGCGACTAACGGGATCGGGTGGTCAGGCTCGCTGAGTTGGTTGACACGTGTCATCGTATCCAAGTTTCGTAGATCACTGGATTTTCGGGTCCAGATATGATAAATATTTATAAACCGCTGTCTTATTGCTGGACAATTGCGGCGTTAAACAACAAACATACACACCTCATTCAGCCCTGTGCTTAGACATATACACCCTTCTTGCTCAACCTGTTTCCTACATTTTACCCATAACTATTCCATCATGTACAAATGTATATGACAAAATTTACAATTGCCTGAACGGTTCTTACCCTAACGTCTAACGGTTGACTAATATAGGAATGATATAATGCTCAATGACGGAATTGGTGACTGAATTTGTCAAGAAGACAGACCCCCAAAATGGTGAAAATGTGGTGCAGTTCTGGCGACCGAATGGGATGTGATTTTTCACTATCAGGAATGAATTAGCTTTGATTGAAAGCTGTTTGTCATCAGCTACCGTGCGTGAGATTCCGTGCAGGGGCCCATTTAAGATGCAACATATCATTTCAATTATGTTAATATTTTAACCGATAACTGGATGGTTTAATTTAATAAATTTGGATCGACCGATTTTCATCAAAATAGTAGCTTTGGAATGCCCAGATCATGATTTAAAATTGTGGACAACAATGCTATACATGCTCATCGCAAAAATATTTTGGTCAGGTAAAAGGTCAATTTTAATAGAAAGAGCATTTGATGAGAAAACATTTGAGTCAAGCTTTACAAATTCAATTTAGGTTTTTCTAATTCAGCTATTTCATTGAAAGGTCATATATACGTTTGGTTAGCATTGTATGCATGAAAAACCATTGCAAGGAAACGAAAGTTTGCACATTGTGTTCAGCTCAGCAAAATATTACATAATGTCTAATCAACAGTAACAGCTCCATGCTTTACATAGTCACAGAGGAAGATTTGATGAAGATCTATTACCACAGAAACGTACTGCTTAAAATACAAAACATTGAGTGCCTAGTAATATCCAATGACATACACAAACGAGTTACACATAGCATGGTCATGACACTGTGAGCAACTGTGGGATACGATGGCATGCACCAAACAAGTAAGTGAGAACGACCACCCGATCACCATAGTTCCCTCGTACGACAACAAGGGTTACTGAAGATCAATTTTGACCCAGATTGTGTTATGGATCCAACATATTTGTGAACCTGTGATCATTTTTAATGAATATATGCATAGTCAGGCTCATGATATGGATTGTAGGTCAATCCAAATGTTATTATAGACAACACAATGTGTGGCGCCAATATCAACTGGTCTCTGCATAAGTCGTACCTCAGAGAGCCAATTGTCACGTTACATTTAATCATTATCAGCTATTCAATACACCCTAAGAAGTTGGTACAGACGTTGGCAAACGAGTTAGATGCTATAACCTTGAAATCGAATATACATATTGGCAGTAGTGGGGATACTAAAAGACCAACTGTCGTTCATTTCCCGATTTCAGTATGTCGCATGACTACGTTGTCCTTCAAGCAGAGGGTTAATGAATTTCCAATAGTTATCGCATAATGGATTTGGCTCATGAATCGCTAGCTTCATCAGCTGATGAACGTCAACAATACAAAGCCAGTCCTAAAATATTGACAGCAGTGGGTAACCTCGCCTAGATGGACGCTAAAAGACCAGCTGTCGTTCATTTACCGATTTCAGTATGTCACGTGATTATGTTGTCAGTCAAGAAGAAAGTTAATGAATTGACAATTGTTAGGGCATAATTGGATCACGCGAACCACTACCTTCGTCAGCTTATGAAAGTCAACAATACAACGTCAGTCCTATAATATCGACAGACCTCACACAGATGAACACTACAAAGTCGGCTGTAGTCAACTGCATTGTTCCAACAGACATTATGAAGCCACATACAGTGATCAGCAGAACGTGTTTTAAATGAAGGAAATATTCTGCTTGGCAAGATCTATCTATATATTTCCAAAATACGAATTCTAATATTTTTTTAAATGCGCTCTCCTCCTCGTAAGAACCACATTCGGTCAGTATCGCTGGGACCTTAGACATGTCAGTAGTCTGTTTCATACTCCAAACGTTCCGCCCAACCCTTTCTGCAATGCAATAGTCCAAAATACAGAAAGTCCATATTCCCACTGGTTCTGAATCACCGAGCTCACTGGGGCTAATTATTATTAAACATTTTAGAGGTATATGAAGGGTGTGTATATTTGATGGATACCATTAAGCCTTTCTAATCATTGTGTAATATCATTTAAAATGTATTAATGATTGCCGGTGTAAAATGAATCAAGAAAACCAAAGTCGTAATATTTCACACTGTAAACACTAAAGAGTGTGCACACCAGAATAACATAATGCCACCTACAATCCTTCCATTAGGATGTCATATTATTATCAATCAGCTTTAAGGGTTTTGTAGCATGTCACTGCAGTGCAGTGCAGCTGGAGCGTGAAGTGACACAAATATAAACAATATTGACATATCAAAACTTATCTCCTTTTGACATCAGCTGAATTGTTGTTTGTGCCAGAATGTCAATAAACGGAAATTTGTATGATAGTCCAACATTTGTGGTATTGCTGATACTTTGTAAAGCATGGAGGTGAAATTATCTATATTTTGGTGATCTAAATACAAAGTACCAACTTTAATTTCCTTGTAATGGTGTTTCATGTATACAGTGCCAACCAAACGTATATATGATCTTCAAATGATATAGATGAATTAGAAAAACATAATATTAGTAAAACTACCTTTAATTTGTAAAGTTTAACTCATATGTTTCTCATCAAATGCACTTTCTATTAAAACAGACCTTTGACCTTGCCAAAATTTAAATGATATGTTGCACCTTTAAAGGGCGCCTGTACGGTAGTCAAGTACGGTAGCTGATGACAAACGGCTTTAAATCAAAGCTAAATCATCGCTGATTGTGAAAAATCACAACCCATACGGTCGCCAGAACTGCACCACATTTTCACCATTTTGTGGTCAAGCTTCTACATCAAATCAGTTACTGTGATATGTACATCTGGGAGAACACATGCATTATACACACACCCAACCGTTACGGCTTAATAAATGTGCACATTTCCTTTGACGTTTTTACTGTAAGTATTGCTAAGCGTTGTTATCTGCCTTTGGCTGTAAAACTTGTACTTGGATATGCGGTGACAGAAATCAATGACATTCGAGGACATGTTAAGTTATTCCTAATCCCTGAGTAACAATATCCCCAGAAACAACAATACTTATTGACCTCGGACTTGTGCATCGCAACATAGGTGGAAAACCCTGGAGCAGCCATGACCACGGTGGGATTAGCGTCAGGGTGGTGCCTTGAATTGTGGAGCAACACCTGGAAGTATAGATTGTCAATATGTTGCAGTATGTCAACACACGATAGTATGTCAGCACCTAGAAACACATGTCAGGATGTCAATACATGGCAGTATGTCAACACACGATAGTATCTCAGCACCTAGAAACACGTGTCAGGATGTCAATACATGGCAGTATGTCAACACACGATAGTATCTCAGCACCTAAAAACACATGTCAGGATGTCAATACATGGCAATGTGTCAACACACGATAGTAGCTCAGCACCTAAAAACACATGCCAGGATGTCAATACATGGCAATATGTCAACACACGATAGTATCTCAGCACCTAGAAACACATGTCAGGATGTCAATACATGGCAATGTGTCAACACACGATAGTATCTCAGCACTTAAAAGCACATATCAGGATGTCAATACACGGCAATATGTCAACACACGATAGTATCTCAGCACCTAGAAACACATGTCAGGATGTCAATACATGACAATATTTCAACACACGATAGTATCTCAGCACTTAGAGACACATATCAGGATGTCAATACACGGCAATATGTCAACACACGACAGTATCTCAGCACCTAGAAACACATGTCAGGATGTCAATAAATGGCAGTATGTTAACACACGATAGTATCTCAGCACCTAGAAACACATGTCAGGATGTCAATACACGGCAATATGTCAACACACGACAGTATCTCAGCACCTAGAAACACATGTCAGGATGTCAATAAATGGCAGTATGTTAACACACGATAGTATCTCAGCACCTAGAAACACATGTCAGGATGTCAATACACGGCAATATGTCAACACACGATAGTATCTCAGCACCTAGAAACACATGTCAGGATGTCAATAAATGGCAGTATGTTAACACACGATAGTAGCTCAGCACCTAGAAACACATGTCAGGATGTCAATACATGACAATATGTCAACAAACGACAGTATCTCAGCACCTAGAAACACATGTCAGGGTGACAATACATGGCAATATGTCAACACACGATAGTATGTCAGCACCTAGAAACACATGTCAGGATGTCAATACATGGCAGTATGTCTACACACGATAGTATCTCAGTACCTAGAAACACATGTCAGGATGTCAATACATGGCAGTATGTCAACATACGATAGTATCTCAGCACCTAGAAACACATGTCAGGATGTCAATACATGGCAGTATGTCAACACACGATAGTATCTCAGCACTTAGAGACACATATCAGGATGTCAATACATGGCAGTATGTCAACACACGATAGTATGTCAGCACCTAGAAACGCATGTCAGGATGCCAATACATGGCAGTATGTCTACACACGATAATATGTCAGCACCTAGAAACACATGTCGGGATGTCAATACATGGCAGTATGTCA